AAATGTAAAGGAAACAAACATCTTACTAAAATCTAGTGTGTCTAATATGTGGTAGGTATACAAAACTGTTAGACGAAGAAAATATTGCGTTTCAAGAGAACAAAAAAAAATTAAATTGTAAAAATTTTTTTTGTTACAATCGAGATGAATTTCCATTTATTTTGAATAAAATATTAAAGCGTCTCTTCTGTCTCTCTCTCTCTCACTCTTTCTCTTTAAAAATCCTTTTTGTTTTTATTTATGTTTTTTTTTAAGGTGTAAATAACTTTATCAAGGTCATCAGTTTATAAATAATAGGTAAAGGATGAAATTGAAAAACCAAAAAAATATTTAATGGTTATTTTTTTTGTTTTCTTAAAAAAATATTTTTAGGCTCATTTTTTGTTTTTAAAAAAAAAGAAAGACGTAAACTAATCAGATTTGACATTTTAATCTTTTAGAAATGAATATATAAAATCAAAATAAATTATTTATAGCTTATAGGGAAATCACCGTAAAAGTTTTGATTAAGTGAGAGCCTAAAAGTATGCAAAAATAAAGATTTACTTGTAGATTGTAGAATGGGGCGACGATGCATCGCGACTTAAAAGGTCTATTATGCCCCCCCACCACGAGCTCCAGTGTTCTGCCTAGAGCAGCCTCTCGAGACCCACACTTTTGATGAATCCGAGCGACTTTTCTGCATAGATGTCCCACAACGGCATGATTTACTTAAAATAAAACTGGAATTTCCCTAAAAGTATGCAACACATTTAATAATTTCACATATTCACAAGTTTCTTTTCTATTATAGCTCTAAAAAATGATCCAAGTTCGGGCATCAATTCTATTATAAAGTAAAAGCATAGTATACTTGTTGAGTGTAATTGATGGTATTAAAGAAATACCGAGAGCGAAATGAATTCGAGTTATTGCACCTATGGAATATTAATTGTATCGCAATCTAATTATAATGAAGGATGACTTTATTGATTGAATACACTATGTCTTAAATAGAGAAAACGATATTGCTTACTTTACAAATTATAAATTTTCTTGCAAAAGCCTTACAAATCAAATAATTTCATCTCGTTTCGAGCCTCCAGTCTCGCAATATTGTCAACAGTTCTTAAGTAAATTTAGGAATTTGAAAAAAATCATTTCAAAATTTTAGGCACGTTTTCTTGCTTAACTACTAGGAACTCACAGATTCTGCCAATATATGATAATATGTTGTAGCAAAAATATTTTTGAAGATATTTGAAAAAATCTTTTGCAAAACTTTAAACTCATTTTCTTGCTAAACTGGAACAGATAGAGTGATTCAAATGGATTTCATCAATTTAGAAATTAACTTTTATTAAAACCATTAAATTATGTTGAACCAACATCACATTTTTGTTATAATCAATGAATTTTAATGAAATTTCAATTTCTAAATCTTTGCTCATGAAAATTTTGAGCTGATTTCAATTCTAACCAGAATTAATTACCTAAATTATCTATTATTTTTTAATTTTAATTACAATAATAATTAAATTTAATAAATTTCTGTTCCTGATAGCATTCTATCAAAAGATGAGCTCACAATAAACTTATTTTAAATCAATAAAGGTCATCTTTTAAAATTATAAAATTTTTAAGAGAAGTACAACAAGTCCTAAAGGATTATTAAGACAACACAAAAAAATACTATAAAAAATTCATATTTTTATTTTATGAAAATCAAAAATAAAATTGAGTTTTTGAAAATTAAGGACACTTTTATGTTAAGTATCAGAGAAGCAAAGAAAAATTCGCCATTAATTTTATTTTTTTGTAAATTTAAGAAAATTTTCCGTATGAAAAGCGAAAATATTGCCCTTTAGTACTTTAGAAAAAAAAAAAATCAATAACAAAAAATTTTAAAGTCATTCAAATTTCGTAGAAAAATTTTCACTTTGATAAAAATTTATTCCTTTATTTTCCACTTTATCCTTAAAATCCTTAAATTTTTCTTGTGTCTTGAATACAAAATTATTGTGATTAAATTAATATTAAATTTTTTTTATTGTATTTGAAATATGCAAGGATATTCAAATTTAGTTTTTATTAAAAGTGTAAAAGTAAAAGAAAATTCATTGATGTTCTTTATTGAAATGATTTTGGAATACACAGCCTCCCATCCCAAATAGGGTTTCACAAAAGTACCATTGCGTCATTTTTTTATAATGAAATTTAATTTTGAACAATATTCAAAGGCAAATTTTCCAACGAAATTGAAAAAAAATATTGTCAGAAATAGAAAGCTGCAAATTTATTCCGAAAATTATTTTTTAAAATTCAAAAAAGAAATTTACAATTTTGAAAATAATTCAATTTTTTGCAATTTACTTCTTTGATATTGCAAAGATTTTCAGATTTCTTGAAAAATGATGACATATGGGTAAATACCTTTTTATCAATGGCTGTAATTGTTTAATTCAAATGGCCTGATTAGTTTATTCGGTCGATCATTATGTCAGTATAATTCTATTAATTTATGATATTATCCTAAAAGTATGCAATGAGATTATTTATTGTTCGTGGTACAAAATAAGTAGCTATTTTTACTTCGCAAATCATTGGTTGTTGACTATAGGCATTTATTTAGATTTTATTATGGAAGATGATACAGCTGAGAATATCCTTTTTTACTGGTAGAAGTTATTGTGCTAGAAGGGCTTGTACAGGTAGTGGTAGAATTTTACGATTTATTTCTTTGTAAATAGTGTAGATCTGATGAAAATTCTGTAAGAGGCCAGATGTTACAAGAAACTTTTATGGCTACTGTAATTTCTGATAGATACTCTGAAGTCAACCCTTGATTAAGCTCTGAATTTGAATAAAATTCAAATTTAGCTTAATCAATTATGTTTTCCGAATTTGTTATTACAATAACTGAATTTTTTTATTAATGAAATTTTTATTTAAATCCAAACTCTATTCAGTACTCAAAAGTTAAATAATTTTATCTCATTTATTTAAAAATTGATGGAGATTGGAAAAAAATATTTTTTTAGAAATTCAAGAACAGAAAATTTATTTAAAAATCCACGTGTTTTAAATTTACTCCCGCTTTATTTTTGTTAAAAATTCTGAGTAAATCAATGAACGTACGTATAAACATTCATTTAGAAAATGCTCGTTAACATTATGTAAATTTGATTGTAAAATATGTGTATATATGTATATATATATATATATATATATATGTATACAAAATTAATGTAAAAGAGAAATTATTTTCAAGCATTATTTATCATTTTTCTTTTAATGGACACAAAAACATTTTCATGAATGCTTTATTTTTTATTCAGTTCCCTAAAAGTAGGCAATATATCTTTAAATTGTTTTTTTTTCTCTTCTTCTCCATTTGATGAATTCACATTTTTCATTACAGTTAATGGCTGTTTTTTTTTTGTTTTTGTTTTTTTTGTGTTCCTTTCCATTCAATTTTCTTCTAATTTATAATATAAAGGTGCAATTTAGTTTCAATTTTGAAAAAAAAAAAAAAAAACAAAATGAAATGAAATTTTATACACTTAGGCTCTTTCTTACACACTCGTTTGTTCGAATGGGATGTCAACTGAAGTCGTAGCCGGAAATCGAATTCAAATAAGTTTGGAATTAAAGCAGGAACCGGAAATACAGTATTAAAGATCATTATTATAGCCGTCTCGCTCTTGCCTCTTTGAACAATAGGCTAAAAAATTTTTAGTGACTCAAATTCGATGACGATCAAAAGGTGCGGAATGTTCTTATTAAACATAAGTGCTAATCAAATTTTAACAAATTTTTGTGTTTCAAATTAATTTTCTGAGTATATTACGAATATTATCCGTATAATACTTTAATAATTGAATGGAATGCTCTTTGAGCCCGGTCTACTGCACATAAAACCTATTGCCATACTGGTTTAATATAAGAAATCTATTAAACCTCTTTAATAATCACACTAAACCCTTGAAATATTGTAAAAAAAATTCTTTTATAAAGATATTGTCAGAAATTACAAGTGGTATAGGTGTCCTCTACCCCCAATATCAGAATTTAAAATAATTTTTAAAATACTTAAGAAAATCTTCAGATTTAATAATAATCCTTATTCAATTAAATTAACAATATAATCAAATATAATATAAACTAGCTGGGTATGTATACAATTGCTATAAATATAAATTGAATATTTGAAAATAATAATAAATGGCAGGAGCAGATGGTTAATATACGGTTAATATCCTTCAATATCATATTCTATGCCTATAGGTACATAATAAAATTATAAAGAACAAAGTCTGTACTTTTAATATAATTCAATTTAGGAAACTGTGCCCATATATACAATAAGCAAATATACATAAAATATCCTTTATAGCAAAGGCCCTCATATAAATAAAGGAAAATGCAGAGGGAAACAAATGAAAAATTAAGGAAATAAAAATTTTATAAGAGAGAGAGAGAGAGAGAGAGAAAAAAAATTGAAAATAAATTGGAAATAAAATTTTTATTAATGTCCTCTGTTTTTCTTTCTGGTTCTAATGAAAATAAATAGTTGAGAAAAGGTAAAAAAGTGTGCGCGTATTTTGTTTTGTTTTTCTTATAAAAAAAAAATAATAAATTTTCTAATAAAATTGGTATAATGGGCCGTTCAGAGCGTGTATTGAGAATAACTTCTCTAATAAAACAAAAATTATAGTCGAAAACAAATTGCTATAGAAAATGTTGAGATTAAAATTTAAAGGATAATTTCGTAATAAATGCGATTTATAAGTGAAAATTCGGTGTGGGGTATCGGGCTGAGAAACCTAAGAAAACTGAAAGGCCTATTCTATGTAGTTCATAGCTAAATTCAATAAATTATCTGTGAAAATAGTGAGCGTGCCTTTTGAAAAGAATTCATTGGCTGCTTCATTAATAAGCTTCATAATTTTAAGGTTTTAAATGTTCAAGAATTAATTTTTAATTTAGAATTTCACTTAAAAAGTCATGAATGTACTCACCTCTTTATCCAATCTTATTCCTGAATTAAAAATCACTTATCCATTTTGGTTTTTTTCCATTTTAAAAAAATTTTAATTTCATTAATTTAATTAAACTTAATTATGATTTTCGTGTTTTTTTGGCACCATATTTATGTTAGTGCATGTGCTGTTAAATTTTCAATTAAAACTTCTTCTAATTCATTATCGAATGTTTCTTCACATGTTTGTAACCATTCCCAAACACGTTTTCTAATTGTATTTTGATCCCATGTTGTTTCTAAACCATAACTGCTCATCAGTCTTTTTAATTTTATTTTATTTTCTTCATTTGAATTTCTACTACCTTTTTGATTTAAATAAACACATAATGAATCCATATCACCACAATTTTCATCATTACCACCACCACCACCACCAACACCAGCACCACCACCAGATATCATTGTTGCTGATTTTGATGATTGTATTTTACATTCAATCCAACGATCTTTCATATATTTTTGGATTTCTTGTACTTTACAACGATCTTCAGCACTATGATCAAAATATTTACGAAAACATCTTATTAAACGTTGTGAGAATTTTTTAAAATTATCTGGTAATTTTTGTGTTTTCTTTTGTTGATATTTCATAAATGCTGCATAATTAGTATCTTTAACCCAATCAGCTAATTTCCATGGTAATGTACCAGTTAATATTGTATATAATATAATACCAAATTGCCATGAATCAGCAGCTGGTCTACATGTAAAACGTTCATTTTTAACAATTTCTAATATTTCTGGTGGTATAAATGATGTCCATGTATGCCTTACTTTATTAACTAATAAACTTTTTCTTGTTGTTGTACCAAAATCACATAATTTTATTCGACTGAAATCTGGTGTAAATACTAAAACATTTTCTAATTTTAAATCACGATGTACTAAATTTTTCATATGCATAAAACCTAATGCATCACTTAATTGTTGTGCAATTAATTTACATGCTGATTCATGTAAACCATTTGAACCAACATTTGATGCTAAATCACCATATTGTGCTAACTCTTGAGCAAATACATAATATTCATTTGTTTGAAAGCATACATTATATGCACTTAATATATTTGGATGATGTGACAAATGATAACTATAATGAAATTCTTTAATAAATTCTTTTTGACTTGTTAATTCTGTATGAACTGCTTTTAATACAATTTTTGTACCAGTTTGACGATGTGTTGCTAATAAGATTTTTGCAAAACAACCCTCCGCCAATGTTTTGTCAATATCATATTCATCTGAGAATTTTATACATGGTATTTGCATATCAACTGGTATTGTATGTATAACACCGCCATCTTTACTTGCATCTGATTTTTTATAAATACTATTTCTGTGTTGCATATTTGGTCCTCCGCTTACACTTGTTCTTCTATTGTCATCAGTTTCTTTCATAACACGGAAAGATAGACGTTTTTCTAAAAATTAAAAACAAAAAAATTGTTTTAATAGGAAATTATTTTGGACCACAAGAATATTTTTATAAATAAATTTATTAAAAATTATTAGAAAATAATTTGAATTAATTCAAATTTAGAATTTTGTAAATGAATTATTGTTGCCACACTCCTAACAAATAAAAACAGTACAGTAATTTCGAGTAGTGTATATTTATCTTAAATTCTTAAAGAGCACTGAATCTATTATGGCAATTAAATAAAGTTTAAGTTTATTTAATAAAATTTAGAAAAATTTAGAGTAGTTTCATCCAAAAGAACCTATCCAAAACCAAATTTTAAAATTATAATTTATTAAAAATTGCATATATTTTGGGGCAATATTGGAAATATTATAAATTCCTATATTTTATTACATTTACTTAAGTATTTTAGATTCTTATGCACAGTTTTTATATTCTTATACAGAGTGTAACATTTCCAGTCTTATACAGAGTGTTTAAGATATCTGTCAACTGCTACAAAACTGTAACAATTCAAAAAATTTGAATTTTCAATTAAATATGACAATTTTTTAGAAGAATTTTTTATCTTGGACAAAAACCTTCCTTCTTTAGTTAAAAATTCACTGTAAGAGAGCTGTTAAATGTGCCTAATTAGGTTTTTCCATTTATAATACGAGTACGTTTTCAATAATTTTTTTTTTTTTTGGAATATAAAACAATTGTACACTACCTAATTTCGGAGTAATTAGGATATTATTCAATGAACTAGCAAAATATGAGCCTTTGTTGAGCAGCACTTGAAGTTTTCGTTGAATTGAATTGTAACTAATTTTGAATCTATTTTTGTTATCCTTTCTTATCTGCAATTTTTGCTATTTTTTATAATTGAGATTGAACAAATAAATTTAATTTCGCAATTCTCGAAAAGAAATAGAAGAATAGCAAAATATGAGCCTTGTTTGAGCAGCACTTGTTATAGTCAGTAGCAAATCGAAAAATTTCAATTTTTAGAACAATGAAGCGTATAGATTAATGGTATAATTTAAAGGCGGCACCATAGTTAAACAGGTTTTTGAACCAAAATGAGCACTTTTTTTCCATATTATGTGAATTTAGTGAATTGTGAGTTTACTACACTGTAACAAGAGTCGAGTTTATAAAATCTGCCAAAACTTAAGTATACAATAAAGAATCCTTAATATTAAAGTATTTCCTTAGAAGAATAAAGGCTCTATTTGTGCTCAAATATGAAAAAGAATTTTTCAAAAATAAATTTACTTTTATACTATGTAAAATTGTATATTGAGAATTATTTCCTTAAAATATCCTTAAAATAAAATCAAAACACAAAATTTATGAAAAAAAAAAAAAAACAAATTTTCAATGTCAAGATTTTTTATTTCTTTTCATACTGTTTTCCTTTATCCTTTAACCTACCTATACTCCTTTAATCTATACTTGGTAATACTTGCATTAATCTATAGAAAAATATTTGTATATAAAAATTTTTGTATTAGTATGCACCACAAAAGGATTACGATTTTGTAAATAAAAAAATTGTTTACTTTAAAAATAAAAACCACCTGATGATGAACTTATCCCTTTTCATTCTAATATTCTTTTTGTATAATATTCGTATGTATAATGTGGTGATTATAGGAGATTTTTTCAGTTGTTTTTATAAGGATAAAATAATAATTTGTTCATATTGTACAGAATATTGTATAACGTATATAAATAGATCATTAAGAAATTGAAAGATTGTTTGTATGAAAGGAGAGTGGTTGTGATCAAGAAGAACAGAATAAAGAAAACAAACAATATTTTTTTTATATATTGTTTTTCGTTCTACATTCTTTTCAAGGTCACATTTCATTATTATCACTATTGTTATTAATATCCTTTTTAACACATTCAATATTACAAAGTACATATCCGTACATATACATTGTATATATATGTATGTAAAGGTATTTAAGAGTATAAAGAGTCCTGTATTTTTTCTTTCATATTTTAAAATCTTCTACATAATTTTTGTGTACAATAATTTTAATATAAATACAAGAATATTGAAAATAAGGAAAAATAATAATCCTTGATACTCTCCCTCTCTCTCTCTCCCTTTGCGACATTTTATTTTTTTTTTTTATTAAAAATTATTAACATATTATTTAGAAATATTGACATTATTTATAAATTTTTTATATTTTTTTTTCCTTTAAAAATCCTTAAAGATATCCTTGAAGAATATTTCAATATTATTTCCTATTATTGTTGTTTGAATAAATTTCTCGATTTATTTTCTAAATTCAAGAAGTAAATTATTAGGAATAAATTGAATTATAATAAAATTATATAAAGAAATTTCAAAAAATTTAATTTTGGAATTTAATCAAAATATATAGAAGTGAAAATTTCGGCCATTTTTTTTGTATTCGACCATATTTCCATATTAATTGTTTTGTGAATTTAAAATATGGATTTACTTATAAAAACTCTGCAAATAATTGCAGTTTTAATGTGATTTGAGAGCGGAAATAGAGTTTTCACTTAAAAACTCTCTTAAATTTTCTAGTCATTTAAGTCTTCTAGCCTCTACTGAAATTGCATTTCAAATATTTTCCAAAATTCGTTGAAAAATCCTGTAATTTTTCTAATTAAACCAGAAAATGTACTGAAAGAGTACAAGGCAAAAAATTTATTTCAAATTACCAATCATTCATAATTAGTAATTTAATTTAAAATATTAGAAATTTTCATGAAAATGCTACAACACTAGTCAATTTCTAAGCTACAAACCGCGTTTATTGTTTTCTAAAAAGCAAATTTGAAAGCCGTATTCAAAAATTTCTCGAAATCCTGAATTATAAAGCCAAGAATTCATTTTTATTTCTGTGAATTTTTATATTGTCTAACAAAATTTTCTTGTAATTATTTTAAAGGAAATACCTCTGAAATTCCTTAATATTTTCAATATTAAAATTTAATATTTAATTAAAAGGAAAATTTCACAGCAACATTGAAAATTTTTATACAAAATCAATCCAATCAAAGATGAAAATTGTTTTATCAAAGATTTGACATTAAATATCATCGTTTTATAAGGCTATGCACTAAATTACAAGAGTAAAAGCTTGTAGTAGTTCTCTAATTTATTAAAGTAAAAAAAAATATTAATTGAGATTTATAGAAATTTTCAGAATGCTTTTATATTTGATAATTTCAATTATTCTACAATCGATTTGTAATTTTGCAACTTTATCTTATGGTATTTAATATAATCTGTACACATACATACATACATAAACATGAATGTTATAATCCTTTGGTTACTCTTTGAACATTAAATTGCATTATTAAAAAATTTTTTTTGCTCGATTCATGCGAATAACACAAAGCCAGAATAAAAGCTTCTCTTATATTTTTAAAAGAAGATTTAAAAGTTTTCTATAATTTATTTACTCTTTATATTCTCTTTTGTGTAATCTAGTCTTAAATTGTATTTTATATATAATATATATATATATGTACGTATATGTATATGTATAATGAATAGACAAAGAGATAATATAATAGTAATCCTCTTTAGTAAGATTAAAAAAGAATAAAAGCAAAAATTTAAAAAGAAATTTAACCAAAGTAACTTTAAAAAGAGATAAGAGATGAGAAACGAACAGGAAAGAGAGATATGAGAAGAAGTAAAAATTAGATGAGAAGCAAAGAGAAAATCCTATACGTATAATAAGAATTACAATACTATCAAATATTAAGTGGCTACTTTAAATCCAATGTAGAAAAATAAAAAATATTTTGGAATCAAAACTTTTACATATTTTTTTTTCTAAAGGACATTTAAATCTAATAATAATACTCTAAAATTTTTTAATATTATGAGTTAAATTGTAGTTGGCTATTGCAAAAATATACTGTTACAAAAAATTTTCAATGTTAATGTCAAGGATTTCAAAGGAAGTTTGAATAATTGTTTGAATGTCTTGTGAGTAAAAAATCAGAAAACTTATTATTCTTTAAGGATATTCGCGTGGTAGTATTAAAATTGATAATATTTTCTTTTTGTTTTTTTTTGTAAGAAAAAGTAGTTAAGGGAGGAATAAGACAGTAAATAAGAAAGAGAAATCAAGAAAAAAATCGAATGCCCCGTAAAATATGCAATTTTATGATTATTTTTTTTTTTTTTTTCAAATAGTAAAAATTTTATTGTAAATGCGGGAATTTTAATTGAAATTTCGAATTAATTTTTTGCTATTCTGTTCTATTATTAAATGCTTAACAGTAAATTGATTAAGCTTTCCCAAATTTTTAGAATTAAAGCATTCTTACAATTGCAAATGTAATAATTTGAAAAAATATCATTTCGGGTATGCGCATACGAACGGAATTTGAAAATGCAATAATTTCGGCTTGATTTTCTATCACATGCACGAACTTTTTCCGGAAAAAAGAGCTTACGTTAAAAAATATTTGCTAAAAAATTTCAAATTAAATTGGATGTATCAATGTTAGGGCAAAATGTTAACATTTTAGAGCAAATAAATTAAAATTTTTGGTCAAAAATTATTTACCAAAATTTTATAGTCTTAAACATAGTCCTGTATAAGGCCGTCGTATAGAGATACCAACACTAATTTTCCTTTAAGAGTTTATGTGATAAAAATTATATTTTCACGGTCCTTTTATGTATTAAGTCATTATACTCGTGTACGAACGTATGTTCGAAATGTATGTCATTTAACACAAGCGAATATATTTGTCGGGCCAATATGTTTGATAAAAGTCGTTTAAATTGTTTGGCTCCTTCTGATAAATGGCATACAAATTGAGAAGTTAACGTATTTGGTCATATCTAAAAAATTATTCAGACCATAGTTTTGAAAATTTTGCAAAAACAAATATGTTATTAGGGCTGTTGCTTGATAAAAGCCATTGAAATTTTTCGACTTCTTGTGGTAGCTGCCATACAGGAACTATTAAAACTACAAAATTGAAATTTTCAAC